TGACCGCAGATGCGGATAGAGACCCGCAGGTGCGAAAAGCCTGGGCAGGATGTTTAAAAACAAGGGTTCGCGATTTTAGTCTTATTTCAACATTTTGGACTCGGACATAGGCGATTTTGGAGAGAATTTTCGAGGGGATTTTTGAGGTAAGCTTCTTGTACTCGTTTTTTATCATAAATCTTGATTTCCCATTGTTTTTCCCATCTAGATTGTGTAGTGTTGAGGTAAAATTTGGGGGTTTGAGGCTAGGGATTTGGAAAATTAATTTTGGGATTTGGATGACCATTTGGTGTTGGAAATGAATTTTGGGGATTTGGATGACCATTTGGTGTCGGATTTTAGTAGATTTGGTATGGTTAGACTCGTGAGTGAATGGGCTTTCGGGTTTTGTGACTTTTGTAGGATTTCGAGAGCCGATTTCGGATTTTGGCTATAATTTAGTAGATTTCTTGTGGAATTGATCCCTTTAGCCTTTATTGATTGTATTGTACTACTTGTGGCTAGATTCGGGACGTTTGGTGATCAATTTGAGGGGCAAAGGCATTGCGGAGTAGGATTTTGCCCGGGTTGAGATAAGTAACGCTTTCAAACTTGGTTCTGAGGGTTCGAAACCCCGAATTATGTGTTATGTGACTGGTATTGAGGTGACGGGCGTGCGCCGTGAGAATTGTGACCCGGCTCATTCCATGGCATTGTATAGTGACTCTATCTTGTTGATATCTGTGATTTCATTATGTGATAAAGTAATTGAGTTGTAAATCATGCTTGATATCATGTTTAGGCTTTATGCTAGTACTGTGGGACCCCTAGTGGTCGTTTCTTGTTGTCATCTCACTGATTTCATTGACATCATGTACTCAGTCACGTTCATGCATTTCATATCATATCTCAGTCTCGGTTGTTATTTATTGATACATCATATCATCGTTTCGGGCTAGTTTTCATGACATTGTGAGCCCCTGAGTGAGACTGAAGAGATTGATGACTGAGAGAGGCCGAGAGCCTAATTATGAGTGACAGTTATGGGATCGGGTTGCACGCCGCAGCGGTTATATTGATGTTATGTTAGCGCTTGGGCTATAGGTGCCCCTCCGGAGTATGTAACACACTCCCAGTGAGCGCGGATGATATTATTGAGGGATGGATCTTCCCTGGACATGGATCTTGTCCAAAGTACTTGACACCTGGAGATGGATCTTCTCCATAGGGCTGGATTGGCCTTACTCGGTACTAGGTGACTTATAGTCAGTGATGTATATATTCCGAGATGGATATTCCCTGGGTCATACAGGCCATATACAGTACCGAGTGGTTAAGCATTTGAGAGTTTGAACACATGCAGCTGACAGCATGGTGCATCACGTACAGTATGTGCATTGGCATGTAGAGATAGCAGAATTATATTCTTTATATTGTTCGGATCTGATGTACTTTACTTTTTTGAGTTGCTTATATAATTTGAAGCATGCTTACATTTCTGCACAGTTATTTCTATTTTATATGTATTGGTTGAGCTCGTCACTGCCTTTCAGTCCAAAGTTTGGACTTATTACTTACTAAGTTGGATGTACTCACGTTACTCCATGCACCTCGTGTGCAGATCCAGGCGCTTCTGGTCACGGCGGTGGTTGTTGATTGAGGCTTCAGAGCTCGGAGACTACCAAGGTAGCTGCACGGCGTTCGCTGGCCTTGACTCTACTTCTTTATAACTGGTTGTATTTCAGTTTATTTCTCTAGACTCTGTAGTGGACTGTATTCTAATTTAGACGTTTATGTACTCAGTGACACCCCGGTTTTGGGTTAGATTGTATCGTATTTTGGGATTTATTCTGTTTTCAAAAGTTTTCTTTAATGTTAACTACTTCCGGCTTTATTTTCAAGTTATTATTATTGTGATGAGTTGTTAAGTAGAGGCTGGTCTAGTTTCACGATTAGCGCCATCACGCCAGTTGATTCGGCTCGTGGCACATGCACAGTTTGACAAAGGGCCAAACAACATTAGCTTATTGTACACAGCCTTCCATACATCTCAGCAAAAGGTTTCTACATTTTGAACCCATGACCTCCAAGCCACACGGCGGCAACTCTTGCCATTGTGACAAGGCCCCGCTCCTCTAAGTACGAATATACATACTATAAGAAAATATAAGTATATACACTTGAAAACAATTAACAATTTACTCTGATAGTTGTACAAAATAGCAAGGCAACCTAGATCAAGAACTTTTGACCTTCCACTTATGTTTTGGCAATCTACTAGTAAGGTCCCACTCGTAGTTAAATTAGTAGATATATAGAAGTATCGTCTGTTATTGGCCATATAATCCAACATCGATGAAAGCAATTATGTAACAAAAGACAAATACTAACTTAGCTACCACAAACTGAGAAGACACTCTCATCCATTGTATTAAGGAATTTTAGCCGCAAGCAGAGGCGGATCTAGGATTTCTAGTACATGGTTGCACTACAAAAAAAAAAAAAGATAAAACCTTCAACACCATTCAACCTTCTTGGAGCATGGGTGCCAGCAGTTACTATTATATCAATTTAAAAAAAATTGTACATAAAATATCTAATTTTACGGAGAGACCATGGGTTCACGCGCCTCATAATTAAGTCTATAAATCTGCCCCTGGCCGCAAGTTAAGTTATGTTCCTCCTAGTAATACTAATAAGGATCACATCTATTTACCCATATTAGTTGTTCAAGTTCTAAAATTAATAATAGACTTAATCAAAACCAAATATGAATATTCTATCAGTAACTGTTTTTAAAGTGTGAGGGCCAAAATTATATTCATTAATAAATAAAGTTTCCAAATGCATGTGTACATGATCGACTCAAAAGCAAGGGCGGACCCACCTAGGGTCAAGCGGGTTCAATTGAATCCCCTTCGTCGGAAAATCTTAACATATATACTTTAAAAGTTAAGTTTAAAAAGCGAAGCCGGGCGTCATTTGTTTTTGTAATGTATTGAATCCGCTTGACCGAAGATACAGAAGCGAAAAGATGGCAAAGCGGGTTCATATATTTCAAGAAGGTCGTGATTTCGAATCCCTGTTGCTATTGTTCTGTGGTTATATATGATTCGTGCGTGAGTTTTACGTATTTACTCCATCCGCACTAGTTTTTCTTTCCTTTCTATTTCGTTCCTTTTTCTTTTTCTTTTTCTTTTTCTTTTTCTTTTTCTTTTTCTTTTTCTTTTTCTTTTTCTTTTCCTTTTCTTTCTATTTTACTTTGCAAATGTATGTATTTTACTTGTTTTCTTTATTCTCATCTAATAAGAGTCATTTAAAAGCTCATTTTATGTTTTAAGAAATTAAAACTTGGTGATTTTGTGTCTATTTAATAAATTTGTTAAAATATGCAAGTATAATGATTTTATATTATTTATACTTTATTGATTCAATATTAATTTAACTTATGTTCAAATTAAATGTTTTGGATTCCATCGGAATTGTTAGCTTATAAGTTCCTTTTCTTTAATAATTTGTGTTGGTATGCTTATAACTCTTTATACTTGTTGTCTTCTTCTCAGTAAATAACAACTTTGCTATTTATAAACAAGAAATAGATTTTTCTTAGAATCAATAAAATTTTACATTTATTAAATAGATTTTTTTAAGTTTAAAAGGCAGTTGATATTTCTCAAATTTAAATGGAGGAATACATATGCGACTACTTAAACTTGTCCAATATTTTTATCTAGCTATCTCAACTGAGGCTTATTCCTATTAGATACTCAAGTTTTATTGAATATGTGTCTATTAAACATAACAAGCTGACATGGCAAAAAGAAAAAAATCTCACTAATTTTAGGGCGCGTGAGTAATTCAAAATTCTCATTTTTTCTTTTCTTTTATTTTTTAAAATAATAATTTTTCAGAAACCACTGTTCCACCACAGCCGCCGCCACAAAAATTCAGCCACCATAAAAGTTCGACCATCACAAAAATCAAACCACCACAAACACTTCTAGCCGGTGTTCTTTTTTCAGAAGCACCATCAACACCATTGCTCTATTACCGCGGCCACCACAAGAAATTCAGCCGTCAACGAAATTCGACTGCCACAACTACCTCTAGTCAACGTCCATTTTCTCTTCTCTTTAAATCACCACCATGAGCACACCACTAGATATCCTCCTTAAATCACCATAAAACTCCTTTAAAGCGAGTGACAGTGGGGAGAGAGGGAGGAAGAAGAAAGGGATTTTGTGAAAATAAAAGAAGAAAGGTAGGGTACTGGGTGGGGGAAGAAGAAAGGGAAGGTGGGAGGGAGAAGAAAATATTTTCTGAAAAATGGAAGAAAAAAGGGAGGATGGGAAGGGGGACTTGGTGCAACCGTAGAAGGGCTTGCGGCGCCTGTGACAGTAGAGGGGTTGGGCAGGGTTTTCTTATCCTTTTTTAATAGATTTTCCTTTTCCTTTTTTGCTAAAAAGTATTTTATAATTTATTAACGCCAAAAGCCATGTGACTTTTTTCCCTTTGATAATTTTTGCCACGTCAATGCTTGTGAAGTACACGTACCATACTTTTTTTACTGATCAATTTTGTGTGTATAATAGGCACGTATGCAATAAAGCTAGTGTATCTAATAGGAACAAACCTCAATTGAGGTAGCTAGATTAAAGTATTGGACAAGTTTAAGTAGCCGCATATGTATTCCGCCAATTTAAATTAAATTAGAGAGATAAATACAAATATTAAATTAACGTTTTACAGTTTTTGTTAAAACAAATTAAAAAATTCAACGTTATTTAATAACTAGCGAGCGCAAACTCCAAGTTCAAAATGGTTTCACCTTGAGTATGAGTTATGAACAACGAAAAAGGAATGCACATACATAAATCACATTTGCCGGGCTCAACGACGTCCATATTTTTATTTATCGTCGTTTCAGATTGAACCCGCTTGTATAAAATTCTGGGTCCGCCACTGCTCACAAACCATGTCCAAAACATATATGTGCATAGTGTAAAAAGGATGAAATATACCTGATGTGTGTCTCCAAGCTGTCGCACCATGTGATCCTGTAGGCTGACCAGAAGCAGGCAATAATGACTCGTCAAAGATAAGATTAGCTGGAAGGACTGAAGGAAGAGGGCGACCTTCCCTGTGCCGCTCCATCAGGTAAAGTGCAATGCAGAATTCCCTCAAAGAAAGCATGCTGTCATTGTCTTGATCCGATAAATCCCACACCTGTTTTAAGACCTCTGATAAACCAAAAGCAAGCTGCTTTAATGTCCCAACGGACCAAGTAAACACCAGCTTGGCTTTAAGATAGAGACCAAGATATTCTAAGATAATTGTAGGCAAGATTCTCAAAAGAGTAAGAGATATGCTATCACACTCTAAGTAGGTCGTATAAACAATGTCCCAAAGAGCCAAGTGACCAATAGCTTAGCATTGTGACACAGCAAGTACAATGCCTCAAAGCAATTGTAGCGACAAGTCTCAAAGAAGTGAGAATGATATGCTTTTACCACTAATTTGTTGTTCCTTTTTTTAACACGGTATGCTCTACCACTGCTGTTTACTAACATTGTAAGTTTTTGTTGCAAAAGCTACTAGCTGTTGAACGGAAACTGTAAAGCTAGGAAACCTAAAGTAAAAGCCCCAAGAATGGAACTTCTTTGTTCAGGGAAGAAATGTACTTGGTGAATTCCATTTTCTGTCCAGTTTATACTCTATACGACGGCTTTCTTATTATCATAAAAATTATATTTCATATTTGTTTTTTAGGATATTAGAAGTAATTATGGTAGTCGCAGTAAGTTTCAGATTATTAGTCACTTCAACAGCATACATGGTCCAAATGTGTCTTTAGTAATCAATGGTCTTTATCAAAAAAATTGTTATGCTCAATGTTGTTATCCTCAAGTCCCACTTTTTCTCGCAATCCATTTGCAGCTTAATCCAAATTCACCCACTTGTAAGGTGCTCAACAGAGTGAATTACACCTTTTAACAAGCAATAATGCAGTGTCCACAGGACCTACTTTATATACAAAGTAAAACAATTATTTTCTTCTATCTCTAGAAATACGATTGGGACTAAAATTAACTCGTTAATCTCCGTGCCTAGCATGTAAAATTAATGGACAGACTACTACTATTATGATGTTAAGATTCTTTATGGGAAGGCAACTTCTACCAGTAACTAATCTATAGATGACAACTGGCTCAATTCATCAGTGAGGACTTGTCCTATAACAGGACATTTTGGCATAGGTAGAATGTGTTTTTACTAAACTATTTAGACGTAATGGGGAATCTCTATATGCAAGAAGTACACAGTCCCATGACTCTTTCAAAGTGATAGTTCTAATGGCACCGAGTCCATCCTACTAATACTCCGACCAATGATCCAGCAGCAAAAATTTAATTCTGGAAATTAAAATTTCTTCCACAAGACAGTGACTACACCTCTTCCAGTGAGATTCCGGAGATCCAAACTGTTTTTTCTTTTTGGTGACTGAGAAGTCTCCGAGGGCCAATGGCGCACGGTTTGAAACTCGGTGGATAATGGGCCCGTCATTCTACCCTTCTCCACTTAAACACCAAGCTTTTGTCTGTGGCAGGGTTCAAACCTGTGACGTGCGCCTACCCCACACATCACAAGCTGCGCTCTTACCACTATACCAAAGCCCTGTGGGCTTCCGGCGATCCAAAATTTTCGGACAACTTTTCGACAACCATTTCCTTTTCAATGACTCTTTCTATATAAGCAAATCAAGTTGGTTTCCCTAAGACAAGTAAAGTGAAGTAAATATCAAGAGAAAGGGAAAAACTAACAAGAGAAGTAAACATAAGTCAGAAAAGGATAGAGCCATTTGCTGAAGTTTTGAGCAGTTTGAATCCAATAAACAGTTCAAGAGGCATATAGCAAACCTAAGCGCTTACTCTTAGTAACAAGAAGGATCTAACAGAAGGACACGGAATCTCAGAGCAAAATCAGAGAAAGCAAATCTCACCTCAAGGCAGCTTCCAACTTAGAAACAGGCTCCGTGCCTCTGTGCCAGTAATTTTTCCATCCCTGTCTGTGTCCACTGCCATAAATACTTTGCAATACTTCTGATAGTCAGACTGCGTGATCCTTGGCCACGGAAGCTGAGACTGGCCAGGAAGAGAATTTCTAGCTGCACTAGGAATTGCAGCAGAACTTTGCACTTGAACCTGTTGATTTGGTCTCACAATCAAATGAGCTTGCTGATGCTGGTGAACCAGTTGCTGAGGAAGTGTAGTCTGCGAATCAATTGAGCTAGCCTTTATAGGAGGTTGGGGCCCTGTAGGTGCTGGGACTGTGGCTGATGAAACTGCGGAAGATATAGTTGGTGTGGAGCTTTGCTTGGGTTGAACTGATGCAACTGAAAAAACATCTCCAAAGAGCGACTCCGATGGAAATCCATTTCCTGCAACTGGAACGGCTTTAGGAACTTTGGCATCAGGCAGGTTACCATGCGACAAAGTTGCATCATTTGATTTTGATAGATCTGGTTGCAGTGATGACGTGGTTGCTTGATGGGTTTGTTGTGCAGAAGGCGTCAATGCAACAAGACCAAATGCATCCTGACTTCTAGAACTGACACTTGTATTTGGGGCTTGGGAACCAGGACCTGCTTGTGAGCCACCATTCCGACCAGCAGGCAAATCAGTGGAACTGGGAGGGCGAGAAGCTACAACAGTACTTCCAACTAGCATTCCTTGACCAGAAATATTTGGTTGAGATTGGAAACCAGGGCTTGGATTCGAGGGCCGAGGAGGCCTCATGTAATGACTTTGCTGAGCTGGTAAGCCTTGTTGACCCCTAATGCCAAAAGTTTGAGCTGCTGTTGGAGTAGCACCACTAACTGGAGGAACTTCAGCCCCAACCTTATTAGTTGGTTGGGGAACGGGTACAGCTGCAAGGTTTATTTGGGGGGCAGGAATTTTAGCTGAAGCTGGAGTGAATAGCGCAGCCTTCACTATTTCTGGAGTCAACTCTCGCTTTTGTGCCACTGTGACGAGCTTAAGAGCATTATAAAATTCTTGGCGACCAAGGAACCCAGTACGACTTTGATCAGCATAGGTCCATATCTACATAAAGCAAAAGAAAATGTGAAATTTAGTATTAAAAATAAATTAGTACATCGATACTCCAGATATCTAACAAGAGTCACAGCGACTACACAAACTACTTCTTCCCCAACTTGACTACGTTGAACTTGATACCTAGACCTGACTCTAGCAAGCAGCATATTAATTGTAGAGCTACTTAATCCAACACCAGCTAGAATATCAAGACACGGTTCACCAAGCACAGGCTGAACCACAAAGCTATTTGCCACTCTTTTTTCCTCTGCTCAAGTTTACTAAAACATATTTTACTAACTAGGTCCTGGGTTCACCAGTAAGCATTCTTCTTTCTCTCAGTTTGTGGACCACTATTATGTATTATTAGAATTGAAACTGAAGGTTTCAAATTATCAAAACATAGCTATGGTTGTGACAGTTCTTGTAAAAAAAAAATCATCTCACCACTGGAAGAAACTTTTCAGTATCTATTATCCATTATCATAATTGCTCAAGTTCCTGAAAATTAGTTCGGTATAATAACTGCAAAAACTTACTTTTTGCCAAACAACTGAATAACCATATATTCCATCTCAGTGCACCCCCTTATACCTATCATGCGACAAATTAGCAGCTAAAATGATCTAAAAAATTATACCTAACATACTTCAAAAAATAGAACAAGAAAAAAAAATTGAAGTACGTAGCAATCACGTGAACTTCATGGCTATGTGAAACAGTTCAAACTTAAGCGCGTTGAAACAGGACCAGCTTGCCTAATTATGAAAACTTGGTAGCATAACAAAAATTATATTAATTCTATTTCTTCTTATTACACGGCTGGTGGAAAAAAACCAAAATGCAGAAATGAAAAAACCTGAGCGAGGACTGGTTGAGGCAAATTGGAGCCTTTGAAAAAGGCAACAGCCTCAGGGCCACTGATCCGACCATCCTGATCCAAATCAGCTCGCCGAAAATAGGCCTCAAATTGATCCATATTCGGCGAAGCCATTAGTAAATTGATATGTCGCTTTTACAAATCCTTCCAACTTATTGCGACACTGAATTAGATCTGCGAGTAAAGCAAGCGTTATCGACTCATTTTATGAATGATATAAAATTCGAAGGGTTCTAGAAGATCCGACGAGTTCGCCGACGGCGACTTGCCGGTGGAGTAGCGGCCGGTGGGGCGGGAGATAGAGAGGATGATGTGGTAAAGTGAGAAAAAACAGTGCATCCACCGTGGTAGTTTGTTTGTCTTTTGATCAAAGCTTTGCTTTCATTTCAATGGATGGTGTTCTTCATCAATTAAATTATTATGCTGGATTCTTTTCGTTTTAATCCTTTTTGCCATAAATATTGAATTTTCTCAAATTCGATTGATGAAACACATTGAGCGAAAACAATAATGCCAATTATTTTGCAGCAAAAGTATAAGAATATTTTATAACCTAGTAACAGCAAAGGATTGTCTTATTCCCTCCTATTAGGATTAGGACCTCTTTCCTTATATTTTTAATGGAAAAAAGTTTTGATACTTTTATATATTACTTTCAAAAACGTTTTTTATTTCTCATTTGGTATTCTTATTGAAACTTCGGACCAATTCAAATTCACGAAAACTCATTAAAGGGTTAGTACTCTTATTAAGATATTTTTCACACACAAGCTCGAAAAAAAAATTCTAATTAAGGATGATAGTTCTCGTTCGAACTAAATATAAAAAAAAAAAAGCTTAAGGCTTGAAATGAAATAGAGATTCTTTCTCCCAACGTAAGCAATAGCACACAAAAGGCAATAAAAAGACACAAATAGATTTTCAACCTTAATAGTTGGGAAAGGGAGCAAGTACATGATTTTATTCTCACCACAATCTTAATAAATAGGGAAAATACATAAAGTACTCATTAAACGTGTCCGAAAAAATCATTTATACACCCAAACTTTATGGGCGACCTTTTACCCCCTCATTCTTGATTGAAGTGTATTAATGATCTCCCTGAAATTAAAAAACCACTTTTATACTATAAAGTGTTACACACGCCCCTGCCACGTCAGAACCACATAAATGTCATCTAAAAAAAATTCTCGTTTTTCCTTTTCTTTTTTTCTTTTGAAATTTTTCCAATTTATCCATCACCCTCCTCCGTTTTCTGTAAGATCCACCAACACCCATATTCCACCATGAAACATCAAAGCTCAAACTGCCCAAGAAAACTTTATTTCTTGACTTTCTTTTTCTCTAATATAATTTATAATTTATTACATAAAAATATTAAAATTATTAAACTTGAATGTCAAATTAGTTACCCAACTGCCCCGTCATTCCACATATCCTTTGAAATTCATCCATGGTCAAATCTCAAATCAAGATCCACTTGATTTTTTCTTTCTATATCTTAAATTTTAATCTTCGTAAATGATTTTATGTGAGACTGTTTCATCGGAATTTTATTTGCTGATAGTCTTTTAGCGAATTTTTTTGTCCGACAAACCCAATTGCTTTACTTTTTTTCCCTTTTCCTTCTCGTTTTCTCTCTTCCTCTTTTTTCTGTCAAATCCTTCTAATTAACTTAGCATCAAAGATGCTGCTGGATATAGTGGTTGCATTAACAATAGAATTTTATAGTTTTCACCATTTAAATGTTGTACCAGTTTTTTATTGCTACTCTAGCTTCTTTTCATCTACTCAAATACTAGTGAAAAGGGAGTTCCAAATAGATCCAGAACAACAAAAGGTGTGTTTGGAAAAAAATGATAGAGATGATTTTTGTTGTTGCCTTGTTGGTTCATAAAGTCAGGTCATTTTAATTGCAGGGAAGAAGAAAAGGAAGAAAGTTAAAGAGCAGAGAAGAAAAAAGAACAAAAAATAAAACGAAAAGATTAAGAAAAACTTAAATTTAATTAAAAATGATATTTGTGAAAGCTAATTCATTTTAACTTCTTTTTTTGCCTGCCATGCTCTTTTAAGAAAGTGTAAATACGATCTCTGCCAACTCACCTCTAAGGAGGATAATTAATACACTTCGATCAAGAATGAGGGGGTAAAAGGTCGCCCATAAAATTTAGATGGGTAAATAATTTTTCCGAACAAGTTTAATGTGTACTTTATGCATTTTCTCTAATATATATCTCTATGTCATGATCAAAATACTACGCACACAGCCAACGACTGAAAGGGGCAAAGATCTTATATATTTCATTACAATATTTTGTGGTATTTTCTAAAGATTGAGGGGTGATAATAATATCTTGAAACCTAGCCGTTGACTCAAAAGGCTAAAAGATAAAAGAGCTTAACTTTTATGAAAATCAAATTATCCTAAATGGGAAAAAGTCAATATTGGGTTGTTTCTAGAAAAATAACAGAATTTAACGTTATTGCATTTGAAAAATGAAAGATAAAGAAACATTGGACCAGTGAATACGAGGTCCATTTTCTCCACTTTCTTTTCTTGTCTTGTGTGTATCCTTTTCATCGTATGCGAATAGGCCATAAATACACAGGTCTAAAATAAAAGTTTACAATGCAGAAGTGTATAATGTGGAAACAAAGTTATAAATGTACATATCGATAGACGAAAATGGATAAATGTTGAAATGTATTTTCCTAAAATAAAATATTTAAGTCGTATGGTGAATGAAAATGACAGTTGAACATACCATAACTTTGGACTTCAATATCGTATACGGTTAAAACCGGGTCTATCCAATTTTACTATTTGATCGAGGCCAGAGAATTGCACCAAAGGCCAGTCTCGTAGTGGATCAGACCAGGGCACGAAGACGAGGCATCAAGTTTGAGAATCGAGGTGCCTGTCGGGATCGAGGCCAGCAATGATCGAGATCAAACATGGCAGACTTCGAGCAAAGGGCAATAATGGAAAAGCGAGATATCCGTAGCCGGTCGAAGATCATGGTGGAAATCCCGGAACAGATCAAATCAAGGCGATTGTTTAGGCTAAACATGAGATTTACTTCCGTAATTAGAATTGTACCATAGATAGGATTCTTATACTATTTAAAGAGGGTTCTGATCATTTTGTAAACACCTTACATTGACACGTATCAAAGCAATACAATACTTTCTAGCTTATATTCCTGTTAATCAGATTGTTATATTTTAACTATTCTTACATCGATTAGTTCGAGGGTATTCAAACTCGAGGGATGAATTCCGTTCAAATACTGGTTTGCTTAATTTTATTGTTGATTTCTATTATTACTCTTTACATTTATCAATTGGTATTAGGTGAAATCACGGGTCCTTAAAAGCATATTATAAGTTGAATTGTTATCCAATTTTAAGGGTAAACAGTTTGGCGCCCACCGTGGGGTTAAGGATAATAGTGATTGCTTGGTATTAATTCTCGTAACATACACTACTTTACGCTTGTTCTTGTGAGTATTTTTTATTTCAGGATCAATATGTCTAACTCGCAAGCAGTACCCACTCACGTCGATGACGGCCTCAGTTTACACGGAGAAAATGATAATGTAGCCACCCCAGGGATCGAAGTGCCTTAAGCTGGCCACGAGGGAGTACCAATCGTAGACCCCGTCGAAGTCAGTTCGCACGTCGCCCTAAATGCAAATCTGGGCGTCGACCCTAGAAATGGTATCCGCAGAGATTCTCGAGTAGCCGATCAAAACACACAGAGTGGTGGAGAAGGCGGAATTAGCCTTCGAATGATATTCGAAATATTGCAGACTCAACAAACTGCGATAGCACAACTTCAAAATCAGAATCGAGCACAAGCAGAATAGAGCTCGAAACATCACAGGAGGTTGTTCACAGAATCGAACCTGTACCAGAGAAATTGAACGCCAATGAATCGGGATTGATCCCGCTATTATGAAGATGCTCGAGGAGCTCACTAAGCAGATCGAATCATGTGAAACTAAAATCGAGGCTAATGACAAAAAGGTAGAAACGTACAATTAACGGGTTGACCAAATACCGGGGGCACCCCCGATACTAAAGGGTTTGGACTCGAAGAAGTTCGTGCAGAAGCCTTTCCCTCCAAGTGCGGCTCCGAAGCCCATTCCTAAGAAATTCCGTATGCTAGAAATTCCCAAATACAATGGGACCACCGACCCTAATGAGCACGTTACTTCTTACATATGCGCAATAAATGGGAATGACTTAGAAGACGATGAGATTGAATCCGTTCTATTGAAGAAATTTGGAGAAACTTTATCTAAGGGTGTCATGATATGGTATCATAACTTACCTCCCAACTCTATTGATTCGTTTGTTATGCTAGCAGATTCTTTTTTGAAAGCCCACGCCGGAGCCATTAAAGTTGCAACAAGGAAATCAGACCTCTTTAAGGTAAGACAGAAGGATAACGAGATACTCAGGAAATTCGTATCTCGGTTCCAAATGGAGAGAATGGATTTGCCTCCAATCACCGATGACTAGGCTGTTCAAGCTTTTACACAAGGTCTCAACGCTCAGAGCTCCATAGATTCACAACAGTTGAAGCAAAATTTGATCGAATATCCTGCTGTCACTTGGGCCGATGTACACAATAGGTATCAGTCGAAGATTAGGGTCAAAGATGATCAACTAGGAACTCCAATTGCTTCGATTTATCCTAGCAGGCTCATGGACAGAGTTAAAAGGGACGTCGATTGGGAATCACGATCAAATAGAGATAGATACCAGCCATACAGTGGAGATCGGAGAAATAACGAGCCCGGACGCAACCCTTATGGAAATGATAGAAGGAATGATCGGGGACAGAGTTCCCAGGGGCTTATGAGCAAAAGTGGTTTCGATAGGGATGTCGGTTCCAATGAAGCACCTCGACTGTCAGAATATAACTTCAGCGTCGATGCGTCAGGTATTGTATCAGCCATCGGTCGGATTAAGGATACTAGATGGCCCAGACCCTTACAGACCGATCCAGCTCAAAGGAACCCTAATCAAATGTGCAAATACCATGGTACCCATAGTCATAGAATTGAAGACTGCAGACAGCTGAGAGAGGAGGTGGCCTGTCTATTCAACGAGGGTCACCTTCGAGAATTCTTAAGTGATCGGGCCAGAACCACTTCAAAAATAGAGATTCGAACAGGCAAAACGAACAAGAAGAGCCACAACATGTAATTTATATGATCATTGGTGGGGTCGATATCCCTCAAGGACCGGTATTCAAACGCACCAAAGTGACGATCACGAGGGAAAAGCAAACTCGGGACTACTTACCAGAAGTAACCTTGTCTTTCAACGACGAGGACGCAGAAGGGATCGAACAACCTCGCAACGACGCACTGATAATGTCTATCCTTATGAATAAAAATCAAGTTAAACGTATGTTAATTGATCCAGATAGCTCTGCAAATATTATTCTATCAAAGATCGTAGAGCAACTCGGCCTCCAAGATCAGATCATGCCTGAAGCTCGGGTACTTAACTGCTTCAAGATGGCAAGTAAAACCACCAATGAGAAAATCATTCTACCAGCAAACGTGGTCGGGACTATCCAGGAAACAAATTTCCATGTGATCGAAGGCGACATGAGATATAATGTGCTGCTCGGAAGGCCTGAGATTCATAATATGAGAGTAGTGCCCTCGACGCTTCACCAAGTCTTGAAATTCCAAACATCAGAAGGAATCAAAATGGCGTACGGTGAACAACCTGCCGCCAAGGAAATGTTCGCAATCGATGAGGTAATACCAATATCGGCATTGTCATCAACAAAGGGATCGGAGTCGAAGGGAAAACAAAAAGTTAAATAGTAACCACAGTCGCCGGCCTCAGACCAATCAGAGGAATAGGAAACCTTCGAGGATGATGATTATATGATACCTCAAACCTTCGTAATCCCCAATGATTCCGATGCAACAAAGTCAATGGTCGAAAAGATGAAAAAAGTCATATTAATCGAGCATCTGCTCGATCAAAAGGTATACCTGGGCACGGGGTTAACTCCCGAGCTCAGGAAAAAGCTCATTCAATTACTTTTAAATAACATGGATTGTTTTGCTTGGTCCCACTTAGATATGACAGGGATCCCACCGAAGATCACTACACATCGACTGAGCTTGGACCCGAAGTTCCACTCGATGAAACAAAAGAGGAGACCTCAGTCCGAGGTAAAACATGCATTTATTAAGGACGGGGTAACAAAACTTCTTAATATAGGATCCATTCAGGAGGCAAAATATCCTGAATGGTTAGCAAACGTAGTTGTATTCCCTAGAAAGGGAAACAAACTTAAAATGTGCGTAGACTATAAGGATTTAAACAAGGCATGCCCTAAAGATTCCTTTCCTTTGCCGAATATCGATCGCATGATCGATGCCATGGCCGACCACAAGATCCTTAGCTTTCTCAATGCCTACTCCGGGTACAATTAACTACAGATGAACCTGGAGGATCAGGAAAAGACTTCATTCATCACTAAGTAAAACATCTATTGCTATAATGTAATGTCGTTTGGACTGAAACATGTTGGTGCTACTTATCAACGCCTAGTAAATCAAATGTTCGAAGAACAAATAGGTAAATCAATGGAGGTTTATATTGCGATATGCTAGTTAAGTTCCTACGAGCAGAGGACCATTTGAAACATTTGCAGGAAACCTTCAACATACTTAGAAAGTATAACATGAAGCTTAACTCAGAGAAATGCACATTCGGGGTTGGCTCGGTCAAGCTCCTCGGCTTTATAGTATCAAATCATGGATCGAAATCAACCCCGATAAAATCAAGGCAATCAAAGACATCACAGTTGTTGACAACGTCAAGGTCGTACAAAGGTTAACAGGACACATAGCCGCCCTAGGTCGATTTATTTTGAGGTCCTCAGATAGGAGCCATCGTTTTTTCTCACTGCTTAAGAAAAAGAGCAATTTCGCATGGACCCCATAATGTCAACAGGCTTTGGAGGAACTCAAACGACACCTGTCAAGTTCGCCATTGCTTTCCTCAAAGGTGGACAAGCAACTTTACTTGTACTTTGCAGTCTCAGAGGTAGCGGTAAGTGGAGTCTTAGTTCAAGAAGAGCAAGGTACGCAATTTTCTGTCTATTATGTTAGTAGGACCTTAGGTGTAGTCAAGACCCGATACCCACACTTAGAAAAATTAGCGCTTGTTTTAATAAGCGCATTTAGCAAATTAAAACCATTTTCCAATTGTTGTTGTAACCACCTACCCCCTTCACAACATTTTGTACAAACCTGAACTCTCGGGCCGATTGGCCAAATAGGCCATCGAGATCAGCGGGTACGATATCGAGTATCAACCCCGAACGTCCATCAAGTCTCAAATCTTAGCAGATTTTGTGACTGACTTCACGTCAGCCCTCATACCCGAGGTTGAAAAGGAACTATTATTAAAATCAGATACATCATCGGGGGGTGTGGGCCCTCTTCACGGACGGCGCTTCGAATGTGAAAGGGTCCGTGCTAGGCATTGTTTTAAAGCCACCCACATGTAATATGATTAGACAGTCTATTAAAACTTCTAAATTAACTAACAATAAGGCCGAGTATGAGGCCATGATTGCAGGTATCGGGTTAGCTAAATCTTGGGAGCGGAGGTCATTGAGGCCAAGTGCGACTCCCAACTAGTGGTAAATCAGGTCAACAAAACTTTTGAGGTTCGAGAAGATCAAATGCACAGATACTTGGACAAATTGTAGGTGTCTCTACATCGATTTAAAGAATGGACCCTACAACACGTACCTCGAGAACAAAATAGCGAGGGTGATGCCCTCGCAAATTTGGGGTCATCGATCGAAGATGATGAACTTAGCTCGGGGACTGTCGTACAACTTTCGAGGTTAGTAAACAAAGAAGGACACATCGAGATAAACTCTACAAGTCTAACCTGGGATTGGAGGAATAAGTACATCAAATACCTAAAAACGGGAAGCTTCCTCGGATCCTAAAGAATCGAGGACTCTACGCACTAAGGCCGCATGGTTCACTTTGGCCAAAGATGGAACACTGTATCGGAGAACGTTCGATGGACCGCTAGCAAAATGTTTGGGACCAGGAGACACCAAATACGTTCTACGAGAAATTCACGAGGGAACTTGTGGAAACCATTCTAGTGTCGAGTCATTGGTTCACAAAGTCATCAGAGCAGGATACTATTAGGTCGATATAGAAAAAGACACTAAAGAATTTGTTCAAAAATGCGACAAATGTCAAAGGTATGCGCCGATGATCCACCAACCCGGAAAGAATCTCCACTCAGTCCTATCCCCATGGTCGCTCATGAAATGAGGGATGGATATTGTCGGCCCTCTACCATTGGCCCCAGGTAAAGCTAAATTCATTTTGTTTATGACTTACTATTTTCTAAGTGGGTTAAAGCACATGCCTTCGAGAAAGTTAGAGAAAAAGAAGTTATAGACTTCATCTGGGATCATATTATATGCCGATTTGGAATGCCTGTAGAGATCGTATGCTACAATGAAAAGCAATTTGTCAGCAACAAAGTGACGAGGTTTTTCGAACATCACAAAATAAAGAGGATCATGTCAACGTTGTATCATTCTAGTGGGAATGGACAGGGCGAATCGACAAATAAGACCGTCATCCAAAATCTAAAGAAAAGATTGAACGAAGCCAAAGGAAAATGGAGAGAGGTATTGCTCGAGGTCCTTTGAGCATATAGAACAATGTCGAAATCCAGTATGAGGGCAACACCGTTCTCTTTAGTCTACAGTGCCGAAGTTCTGATCCCGGTCGAATTTGGGGAACCTAGCTTCAGGTTTCGGTATGCAATGGAAGAGTCAAACCACGAGGCTATGAATACGAGCCTAGAATTGCTAGATGAAAGGCGAGATGCCACCCTCGTTCGAATGTCAATGCATAAATAGTGAATCGAGAGGTATTACAACTAAGGATCCAATCTTCGACACTTTAAAATTGCGGAATTAGTTCTGAGAAAGGCCACCATTAATACTCGGGACCCAAATGAAGGAAGCCTGAACTATAAAGAACCGTATCAGGTCCTCGATATCGTCGAAAAAGGATCATACAAACTTGGCACGATGGACAACGAGCAATAACCAAACAATTGGAACATATCACTCCTCAAAGGATATTACTATTAAGCTACAAACTTCTCCATTTTCATTTGTATTTTATACTAACCGATTGTAGGTGTCCGATCGAAGATATCGAGTAACTCTTAAACACAAAGTCCTTAGGTTTTAAAGCACGCATTGCACTCTTTTTCCCTTAGACCGGTTTTTGTCCTAAGTGGGTTTTTCCGGCGAGGTTTTTAACGAGGCAACCATTATGTGTACTACTTTGAGGTAATTCAACAGTATCCGAGGCTTCATTACAATCAACCTCGAATATTGGGGGGCATCACCCTCGGATGTTAACTTTGTTACAAGGAAGGTACTTCGTGTCGACAGGGTCTCGATAGGTAAAATTTTGTAAAGGCCAAACGGTTAAACGAATTCTGCCCATGTAGATTACTCGAGCCCTAAAAGCAAACATGCACGCTTGTATAATCTATTGAAAGAAGTATTTTCCCTTGCCAAATATTTCATGCCTTAGAGAAATTTTCACCTTACAATTTCATACTTCTGATCTATTGTGGAAATAGGCTTATAGGCCGATCATAACTGAAGTTCAATCAACTTATCCCATACTCGGGGATTACCGTCCGAAAAATTGATAAAATCGAACTACTAAAATCTCGAGATTACAAGACCTTAAAAAGGCAACCCTCATTTTTTTATAGGCCACGGCCACCCCACTCGGGGACTGAAACTTCGATCAAGTTCGAAGTGTAATCGGCAAATAAGCCCAAGAGGCAAAATCCAAAGTTAGAGGCTACGGCCAAACCACCACGGTTCAGAGACGTCCGAATTTTGTAATAAAATAGGCCTTCAAATATTTCCATAAAACCAGTTTAAAAACTAACCTCGGCAAATTTACAAAGGGTTTCGATCACATCAACCCTCGAAAACCCTAAGGGGTACTGAATTGTTCGAACTCCCGAACGAGCTTATTTCACACTAAGCGTAACGAAGCAAAGGGTTTCAGAAATATTAACCCTCGAAAACCCTAATGGATACAGATTTATCTCGTGCTAAGGCATAACAAATTTTTACATGATTAACTTTTTAAGCCGAAAAGGGAAAAAGTCATTCTTTTAAAGCCATATTGGCCTAATTCAAGAGCCTAGGGCCGTTTTATTTTTGAGTCCGAGAAGCCATCCTCACTCAACTAAAACCTAAGGGTCATCCTACTTCGAGTTCGAGCAAATACTCACTCGATTATGAAGACTACACTAGTCCGACTTCTGTCAAATTGCCCAAGCCTCATACTTATGAAAATTTTCAAGACATGGTCAAAACAGAATTTGTACAAGGCGTAATCAAAGAGAAAAGAAATTTACTTGGATCAGTCAGGATCCTACACAAAAAATTCAAAAAAGAAAAAATTCTAAGTGCCTAATTTTCCTCGAGAGCTACACCTTCACCATTGGAATCCCCTCCGCTCTCGGATCCACTCATGCTCCCGGAATTGTCATCATCAGAAGAGAGCAACGCTTTGGCTTCCGCCTTGATCTCTTTCGCGTTCTCGATCTCGACGACAAGGTTAAAGCAATGAGCATGAATCTCCTCAAGAGTCTCTCTTTAAGACTGGTACTTGGCATGCTCGGCAGCCCAGTATGGCCGAGTCTGAGCATTGTCAAAAACTTCCTTTGCTCGAGCTTGAGCAGCTTCAACATCAGCTCGGTAGACGGCCACGATCGCCTCCGC